AAAATACAAATACTAGAGTCATTGTGGGAATAAAATGCGGGTGATGCATATAAAAATACATAGTATAGTATCCAAAACATAATGCTCACCTAATATTAACTACTACTATTATTACTACTACCATCCATCTATCATTTTGGCACACTGTGATGGCTTATGTATTGCTGTGATGTTGGAAGTTATGGCACCGGTATTCAAAATATCAGCAGGATCACTCATGGTGGGCAGTTCCAAACTAAGACAGACTAGAAAGAAAGGACTATCTATCTACTTCTTAAAATTAGTCAATGGGAACCCCATGGATCTCAATAGAACATTCTCTGATACAGGGCTGGAAGATGAGTCCTCTAGGTTGGAAAGCACAAAAATATACAGTGGCTGCAACAACGGACTCCAGCATCCCAACAATTACGAAGATGGTTAAGGACTGGGAAACATTTTGTTCTGTTGTACATGGGAGTCACCATGAGTCAGAGCCAACTCGATGGCAACTAACAATTCAACAATTACTATCAAGTGACTCCTGAGCATTATGTAGGTGAGGGGAACAAAAGAGGAAATCATGGGAAATGAAAAGGATTGATACCAAGATCCAAGGGGAGGACAGCAAAGAGTACAAAGGCTGACAAAGATCAGATCTCCTAAGGCCTTGTAGACCATGATAAGAAATGTTAAACTTCCTTCCACAGGCAATGAAAAATTATGGCTAAAGAATCAAGTATGGCAAAGAGGCAAGCTGAGGAAGGTGGAGGATGAGATTAAAGCTAAGGGAAAGTAAAGAATATGGTAAAATATTGTAAAGAGGATACAAAGAAAGAATAGTTTTAAGTCTATACTTGTAGACAGTTAAAATAAAAAATAAGCACATGTGATCTTTCAATTAAAGATTTTATTTATATAAAACATTTTACAAAATTATATAAAATATGAATTCATAGTTGGTTATATATTTAGCTACTTGTTTTATTAAAAATAATATGATAACATGAAATGAGAACTTTCCCAGAAAGTGGTATGATAGGATTCTTCAATCTACAGTCCTGGGACATGGCAGAAATGCTGAGCCTCTGAGCCTGTAGTTCTACCTCGGGAAGGTTCTAGGTAAGCTGGTCTAAAATGGAGTAGGTGCAGAACGAAATCTCTGATATCTAAAATTAGGATTCATACTGTAATCTACATAAACCATAGGCAATTCCGATAGTTTCAGATAGTCCTCTGCTGGCAACTCTCACTGCCATCGAGTAGGATCCTGACTCACAGGGATCCCCCCTTGGGTTTCTGAGGCAGTATCACTTCAGAAGTAGTTGTCCCATCTTCCTTCTGAGAAGCAGCTGGTGGGTTTGAACAATCATCCTTCTGGTTAGCAGTCAAATGCCTTAGGCACTATGCCACCAGAGCTCCTACTAATTTACCACAGAAGTAGACTGCCCAATCTTCCTTCCAAGGAGTGGCTGGTGGGTTTGAACCGCCAGCCTTCTGGTTAGCAGTCAAATGCCTTACGCACTATGCCACCAGAGCTCAGGAGATCTAATATTGCTGACAAAGACATCTATAGGTCAGCAGCTGGTTTTAAATTGTTCCACAGAATCCCACAGATTTTGAAACAAGCATTATCCATAGGTATAGGATAAGACTACTGCGTGGTCTGTATTTTCAAAGCCACATAGTGCTGCCTTGGCAGACTGGTGCCTTGCTTGACACCAAACTTGTCATTTACTGGGTCTCTGTGGCCCCTCTGGATATCAAAATTCCATTCTGACATAATCTTTTTTCCATACCAGTTAAAGTTTTATTACAAATTAAAGAGCTATAGAAATCACCCAGATATTTTCACATATGTCAAAGCACCACATTGGAAAGGTCAAGGATATAAAAACTGACCTTTACATTGATAGCAATACACAGTGTTTATTATTTTCAAAAAATTATCAGAGAAAATAGAAACCTTCAAACAACAGTTAAAATGGATAAAACCTTCTTTTAAAAGTATTTATTCAGAGTTTAGGAAACATTCAAATATTTTTTTAATTGGAATTGTATATAACTGTATCTTTTACTTCACCTAAAATGTAAGATTAAATGTGATTTAATCTATATTCCTAGCCCTATTCAATATGTAGTTATACCTTAAATATAAACTATGCTTAAATGAAATGTAAAAGGAGTATAATTTATAATTTTAAAAAATACATAAGGCATATGCTCAGAGCCTGAATAATCTGGTACCAACCTTTTGTAACATACTTAACTTAGAAGTGCCCATCTCTCTTAGTAGAATTTCCTGTAAATAATGCAATGAGTTAATCAGGCTGGCCCAGGTTTGAGAAGAAATCCAGATATATATGGATATTAAAACCCACTAAGAAACTCCAGCATGTGTCAAGGAGAAATCTGAAACCCCAAGTTATCATTTCCAATTTATTATTAATTATAATTTGAGATAATCCCCAGTTACTCCTAGGTTACTGACATGGCTCACCAATGACAGTCTTATACCCATATATGAGAAAAACAATGGGCAATTTCTGAAAGTCACTGGAGGAAAAACCATATGGTTACATTTGGCTTCCTGCTCTAGAAGAGTGAGGAAAGATTAAGGAAAAACAAAACCTTATTTGACTAGAACCATTAAAACATAATTCAGGTGGATGTCAAACCAAATAGCTGTATTGATAATATGCATCCCACTCTCGTGTTTAAGATACAAAGGTCTCCATTTCTCTGAGGGAACTGCTTTTTCGGCAAGACACACTCTCTCTCTTGCCTTGGAGCCAAGTCATTGGAACCCTAAACACACGGCGGAGCTTCTGTTGGAATCGGTTTCCAACAAAACAATACAGGAACGGATTAATGCAGCTGTTGGTGAATCCCAGGAGGATGGCAAAAGGAAGTGCCAGGTCAATGACTGCTATAACTTCACAGCTATTAATGACACCCATCCAGGCCAGAGCATCCAGGAAGGTCAGAACATGAAAGGGAAGCCAACAAATAATGAACGCCACAACAACAGCAGCTGCCATCTTCAGGACTTGGTCACGGGTTATTCTGTTCTTCCCATAGCTATTGGTCTTCAGTAAGTGTTTTCTGATTCCGAAATAGCATGTGGCTATGAATATTAAAGGGATAATAAAACCAAGGATATTTTTCATTAAAGCAATCCCCGCTGACCACTGAGCATATTTCTCAGGTGGGAAAGCCATAATGCAAGCATTCACTCCTAAATATTCAATGGTTCTGACATCTCTGAAATAAAACGTAGGCAATGAGGACAGGCAAGCCATACACCAAACAAGGGGAACTATATAAGATGCTTGCCAGGGATTTCTTCTTTGAGACAGAAAGGGGTAGATGACGGATTGGTACCTATCAACACTCATGCAGGTGATAAAAAAAATGCTTGCAAACATGTTCAGGGTCAGAAAAGAACCAGAAACTTTGCACATCACAGGCCCAAAGAGCCAGTCATATCTGTAAGAATAGTAGGTTGCCCAGAGAGGAAGAGTAGCCAGGAGGAGCGAGTCAGCCACAGCCAGGTTGAAGATATAAATGCTGGAAACCTTTTTAGGACCCTTTTGACAACAAAACAGTGTGACCACAACAATATTGACAAGAAATCCGATCACAAAGATAATGTAGTAGAGAACAGGAACCGCCTCGAAATGCTTATCTGATTGTTTCTGGGAGCAGTTAAAGGTAGACGCATTGCTTCCCGAGTTGTTCATAAGTCCGAAGTGAAGACTACTAGTCATGTTTTCGTTGATGGTGGTGAGAGTGTAGTTGCCCTTCATATTGAAATGTCAGCAGCCCTAATCCTTATCACTTCTGTGAGAAAAAGAAAATGGAACCCTTAGAACTATACAGAGCTTAAGACATCATTGAGTCATGAACATTATGACACTTTGTTGAAAGCAAAAAAAAAAAAAAAAGGTGGGGGTACGATTATAGAAAACAGTATGAACCAGAACCATGTCTTGTGAAATAAGAATGGAGTTTGCCTCTTGAAGAAGAAAAGACCATTTTCTCAATGGAAGTCAAAAGAAAGTTATTTTAGACTTAGGGACTGAAAATTCTGAACAAAACTATCCTTTGCACATCTCTTCTACCATATTTTCCACAGATTTAAATAAAATTAATATTTCAAAAGGTTATTCAGGATAGGAAATGTGCCAAACAAATAAGAGACTCAGAAATTAGAAAAGTTAATATTTCAGAAACACTTCAGCACATATCTCGGGCAATACACTTTCTAAAATCCACACACTGTTGCCTACTATTGCATAGAGAAATGCCTTATTCAAGGAACTAATTATATACAAATCATTACAGCCATGGAAAATATAAGTAACGTAAGCTGTGGAAAATATAAGTGAATGTACAAAAGACTGAATGAGAATATGCAAGACTGAATTATTAGGGTAAGGAATCATGGTTGGGAGGAAGTTATGGAATATGTGCATGTATCTGTCTGGATTTTAATAAAGAATATTAGTTTCAGATATATATAGTTAAGCCTAGACTATTGAACTGAAAAACAATTCATTTTCAATTCAATTAGTGAAAAACAACAATCCCACAAAACAACCAAATCTGATTTAGGGCCAAATAGAAACAGTTGTGATTGCTCAATGAAATAAAAATTCAACATTAATGATTAATCATGATATAGTTTTATCATTTTCCCCTTGCTATCTTTTCAGTTTAACAGAACTAAATAGTCAATTGCTGTCAAATGTTATAATCAATCTTCAAATACTTGAGATAGTGTTTTTTTGTTTTTCTTTTTTACCAGCAACATTATTTTAAAACAATGAAAAGAAAATTAACTGAAGGTAAACACATTAAAGGGAAGGCTATTACTTTAGATAATTTCCAAATACGTACACACTCCCCCAATTAAAAGTGCAATCACCAAAAAAAAAACACCTAATAAACAGCGCACATATCATTTTGGTCTACAGCTCATACTTTCATAATCACCTTGACTTAACAATTGACATGAAGGAATCTAAAATAAAGAACACTTGAAGACTTACAGGTTGCTGGAGTTTAAAACTTAGTTATCATAAATCAGCTTGCCTAGTTCCTAAACGCACCCCTGGAAGAGAAACAGCAGTTAAATCATCTAGGATTTGTGCAAAATACTGTGCTAAAACACAGGAAAAATGGAAAGTTCATCCATAAAAAATATTTTCATTTAATGTATGTTCTCCTTTCCCAACTACAGTATATATAAATGGTCCAGACTTACCTTAAGAATTCAGGCTGAAGAATGCTTTTAATTCTGTGCTTATTCGTTCCCTTAGACGCTGGGACGTAACAGCACCAGATCTCTGGTTTCCTTCTTATATGTTCGGTTTGTCCACTGGGAGCCTTCAACCTACATAATTCTAGGACTGACTTATGAACACTTGCCAGCTTTCCAGAGGGTTTTTTTTTTTCTTTTTGGCTGCAAAACATTAATCTGAAATTCTCACTGTCTCCAATCATAACAACTCATTCAAATAAATCTCAAACAAAAAAATAAATTTTCCACAAATGTGTTAGAGAATTTTGAAGTCAGTGGCTTACTTTAAAAGAAGAATATAATTATTTGCAGAATTTTCTCTTTCTTTCTCCTGCATATTGGCGTTAAAAAATGGGCTAATGAGTGGAGACTAGGGAATTCACTCTAGTAGCAGGGTCTTTGCTCACCCTTCATTGTATTCTGAAATTCTTACCCTTGTTTATTAAAATGTGATAGCAACTCCTAAAAATTTTCCCTTGCTTTAAGTAGCTATTCTTGGCTGGTTTCTGGAGGGATGGTGATAGGATGGAAATAATTTTCACATGTTCAGAAAGAAATATTAACATTTAATGTCTCCTTCTTTACGTCTCTGTCATATTTGTCGTTTAAATACCAAGTGCACAACATGAAGCAGCATTAGGCAGCTACTACAGCCTACATCATTGGTTTTTGATTTGGTTTTATCGGTGGTGATTGCTTTTTTGGGATTGAGGTGGGAGCAATCAACCCTATACAACCAGTCCAGGAGAAGAAAGAGTTACAAAAGGAAGAAAGATAAGAACAGGTGATGGTAGTGATAACACTAGCCGACACTTAGTAAATGCTGTGTGCCAAATACTGTGCTTCACATTCAAACATTTAATACAGAGGCACTAAACTATAATGGTAAGCACAGGGTTTCCAGAATCTAACTACCGGCTTCACAAGCCCCTCTCTCAAACCAAAATCCAAAGCCACGGCCATTGAGTCCATTCTGAAACATGTTGTTATTGTTGTTGTTGTTATGTGCCATCGAGTCGGCCCCGACTCATAGCGACCCCTCCTTGGGTTTCCAAGGCGGTATCACTATGGAAGTAAATTGCCCAACCTTCCTTCTGAGGAGTGGCTGGTGGGTTTGAACCACCAGCCTTCTGGTTAGCAGTCAAGTGCCTTAGGCACTATGCCAACAGAGCTCCTATTTCTACTCATAGCGACCCCCATTGAGCTTCCAAGGCTGTAAATACAGAAGTAGATTGCCCCCTCTTCCTTCCTTGGAGCGGCTGGTGGGTTTGAACTGCTGACCGTCTGGTTAGCAGCCAACTGCCTTATCCCCTATGCCACCAGGGCTCCTTTGCAAGCCCAACTCTAGCACTTTCCTTTTTCTTTTTTTCTCACTTTGGCCAAGTTACTTTACCTCTCTGTGTCTCAGTTTTCTCATCTGAAAACAACAGGGATGATGTTAATTACTTACATTGTGGGGTTATGAAAATTAATAGACAAAAAGTGCTTACAACCATGCCTGTTACCTGATAAGTGCTACATAAGCAAATTAATACTGTAGTCATTTTACAGATTAGGAAACTAAGGCTCCAAGGCTTTAAATACATTTTCTTCAGAAAATGGGGGAATCTGGATTTAAAACAAGGCAATCTAACATTAGAGTCCATGCTTTTAACCCCTACAGTACAGGAGGAATCAATAGCTGGTCTTTTAATCTTACCACCTTGCCCTGGCAAAAAGAAAATATACAACATGTGCAGAAAGTCACTGATGACCATTCATAAACACTTACTAAAGCACTAAAGAAGGTGAAAAAGAGTTTGATGGGTTGTTATGTTGATGGGTTGTTGTGTTGGGGAGAGAGCTCTGGTGGCGTAGTGTGTAAGGCATGTGACTGCTAACCAGAAGGCTGGTGGTTCAAACCCACCAGCCACTCCTCGGAAGGAAGATTGGGCAATCTACTTCCCTAGTGATACTGCCTAGGAAACCCAAGTTGCTATGAGTCGGATCCGACTCCATGGCAGTGAGTTTGGTTTGGTTGGTTTTTATGTTGGGAAAAATATTTTTATTAATTTTATTTCCAAATTGAGACCACAGGAAGGAGAAATATATGATTAGATCATTCACTAAAATTTGTACAGAAAATCCAAGAACCCAGGGAGCTCTCATGAGTAACTGGATTCCAATTATTTCTTAAAAATTCACTGCTGTCCAGTCGATTTCGACCCATAGCAACCCCTCCTTGGGTTTCCGAGATGGTATCACTACAGAAGTAGATTGCCTAGCCTTCCTTCTGAGGAGTGGCTGGTGGGTTTGAACTACCAGCCTTCTGGTTAGCAGTCAAATGCTTTAGGCACTACGCCACCAGAGCTCCTTCAATTATTTCTAGTAGATATTTTTCAGATAAGCAATAAGAGTGTACCTCTCCACGCTGCAGGCTGCACGGAGCAAGGAACAGGCTTGGGGAAAGCAGACAGGGACCTCAACAACCAGTCAAGCAGCAAGAGAGCAATGAAGGGAAAGCAAGGTTGAGTGGCATGGGACAAAGTTAAAAACGACAAGAGACAAAGCAGATGGCTTTTGACATTTGTCTGTTTCTCCATTAGTATCCACGTCAATCCTGTAGTTCACAGACTGATGAGGGAAGGAGGAACAAGTCCCCGATGCCTGAAAAATACAATAGCATCCAAAGGTTTGCACAACACTGCATTCGTGTTTCTTTTGGTAGATTGAGTTTGAGCATTGAGGAAATGCCATGAATATACATACGTGTTGTTTTACTAAATCTCCAAAGATTATTCCCTATGATCTGGTCAGATTCAGGTTGAGATTCTGTCTAAGTCATAGAAGACTGATGTAGGGAACAAATAAGCAGACACATGTTAGAGGCAGGAGGACTGAAATGGGGACTGGTTTTACTCTTTGTTTAAGCCTGGTTTTCCCTCCATTTCAAATGTTTGTTTTTGCCACATAAAGGAGAATTTTCCAGGCCAGAGCATTCTGAATGGTCACGATAGGTCAGATTCCCACCCTGCTCTATTTCTAGCCCCCTCTCAGGGCCCCTTGCAAAGAAACAGCCAGGAGGTGAGCTATAAACTTTCGAGAACAAACTGCAGGCTCGCCTCCGGGAGACCTAGCCTTGAACACCCACAAGGAGCAGGGGACCTTGTCTAGAGATTTTGTCCTTCAATTCAGTAAGTTCTGACGTAAATAAAGTTTAAAGAGTCACACATTTCCCAGAAGATTAAAAGAACATTTACTCTCTTCCTTTATAATTTTAGGAGTAAAAATTTACACAAGTCAGAGAAAAATTTTGTAACTGCAGGGAATTAAGACAAAAAAAAGGGAGGGGGAGCAAGAACAACAATAATATTGACAGCACTTGAAGCAAGAAATACAGCTTATTATTGATTCAGTAAAGAACTCTCAGTTAAGCCAACAATGTAAATACATTTTAGAGTCAAATAAATGTCAGTCATGGGAAGTAGTACAACAGAAAAATTCACTCTCCTGGGGGTTAGGGGCAATTTTTCAGCTGGAAGATTGACCTAAAAAGTCTCGGGTCATTTGAATAAATTATGCAACTCTTCAGAACAAGTGCACCTGGGGTAGAAGCGTTTAAAAAAAAAGGTAATTTACATTAAATTATTTCTTAGAATGAATATCTATTCTTTATTGTGAGATTACTTAAAAGTAAAGTTCAAAGGACCAGGGTAAACCAATCCCGTTGCCGACGAGTCAGTCCCAACTCAAGGCAACCTCATGTGTTACAGAGTCAAACAGTCCGTTGGATTTTCTTGGCTGCAAGTTTCTCTTCCACGCTACTTCTAGGTGGGTTCAAATAGCCAGCCAGGTTAGTTGTTGTTGTTGTTAGGTGCCGTCAACCTCCAAATCTATGTACAACATTAGAAAACACCGTCCCTTTAGTAGTCAAGTGCAAACCGTTTTCAACACCCTGTGACCTTGTTATGAGCCTGAAGGAGGTAAGAAAAGAGAAACATTGCCTTGACGGAAAGAATTGTCCCTAAAATCAGTCAGACCTGGGTTTAAAACCTTCTCTGCCACTTACTGATTATGTTTGTTCTTCACTTCTTTGTAACTCAGTTTCCTCAAGCACTGTACCAGGTTGTTGTGAAGATTAAATGAGTTAATATGTGTAAAATGCCAACTACAGTGTCTGGTCCATATAAACCAAGAAACCAAACATGTTGCTAGAAAGTTGATTTTGAGTAGAATTGCTCCACAGGGTTTTCTTAGATTAAATCATTACAGAGGACCTCTGGTGATGCAGTGATTAAAGCGTTCAGCTGCTAACCAAAAGGTCAGCACTTCAAACCCAACAGCAGCTCCATGGAAGAAAGAGAGGTAGTCTGCTTCTATGAAGATCTACAGCCTTGGAAACCCTATATGGCAGTTCTACTCTATCTTTTAGGGTTGCTAGGAGTCAGAATTGACTTGATGGCAGTTGAGTTTTGGAATCTTTACAAAAGTAGATCACCAGGCCTTTCTTCCATGGGGCTGATGGATGGATTTGAACCTCCAACATTTTAGGTTAGTAACCAAAAAACCCATTGCCATTGAGTTGATTCCAACTCATAGTAACCCCCATTGGGTTTCTGAGGTGGTAAATCTTTACGGAAGTAAGTTACCCACCTTCCTTCTGTGGAGTGGCTAGTGGGTTTGAACCACCAACCTTCTGGTTAGCAGTCAAATGCCTTAGTGGAATGTAAACACCTTGTGCCACCTGGGGACCTTTAGAATGATACAGGATTCAGGGGAAAAAAAGAAAGAAAGAAAAACATTACTTACCCCTCTCAGACACACCCATACGTACACACACAACAACGAAACATCAAAGGGGAAGAGGAATCCCAAATGCAAATGGCCACCTCTCTGTATACATGCCCTGGTTAAAGGAATGACAATTAGCAGTGCAGATTATGGAATGATTGAAGGTACAGGAGGATTTCTTGTTAGTTGAAATTTTTTGGAATAATTTTAACCCCCCGCCCCAATGCTAGATAATGCTCTGAGTCCCTGTCCAGAACCAATAGCATGTCCACTTCTCCCAATCTCAATATATACACACACAGAGAC